CTTTTCATGATCATTCCTGGACGGAGCAAAGAAACAGCTTCATTGAGCAACATTCTTTTCCACGTTTCTCAGCCCCTTCCCTAAATATGTTTCCTGCAGCCTGAGCCGGTCGCCATGGTGACTGGTGGCTACCTCCTGGTGGCTGTTTGCGGGGGTCTGGGTTTCCTTGCCTGTTTGGGCCCCCTGCTGTGGATGTGTCCTGGGTCCTGCCCTGTGTCTGCTGGGTGCTTCCCATGAGGCTCTTCTATTGGGGGAAGAACCTTTGCATGAACTCTGGGTCCTGGATGGGCGGGGCTGAGGCCCCTCACATCCACTGCTGAACAGTCTCTTGAAGAAACCCTTCTATACAGAGTGTGTTCACACAGTCAGGTATCTTTAAACACACATTTGTTCAGCGGGGTTTGAACTAAATGCATCTTAATTACTTCACTTTATTTTAAGTAGTGCTAAAGCTGGGCATACAATGTGCAATATTTTCAATCGTTGCACGCAGCTACAACTCAAACTGTAGATTAAAATCAGAGTTTAAAAGTTCACGATGTTTGTTCTCACACTGTGCAACCCAACGATCTGATGCGATCTACCTGCTGGCACTGTAGGTCTATAAACCACATCAGCTCTGAGAGATGGCGCTGGACACGCGCAGTGCTGGAGGTTCTGGTAAATCGGGTCGTAGCTCCGCTTCAACAGCAGGATTTGCCCACCAACACCTCACCACAGCCGCCTGAACTTCAAACATGTTTGATTTTGTCCTGACCTTCAGATTCCCGATCAGGAGGTGGTCGTTAGAGGCTGATCGTTACCCCCTGTATAGCTACACAACGCAGGACACACGATTATGCTGAAACTCGACCCCTTGGAAAGAATTCTTGCACCACCTGAAAAGGGCAAAAATAACGGTACAGTGTATGCCTGGCTTTAGGAAAGTAAATCTGAAGGTTCTTCTCCATGGCATTCAGAAAACCAGCTTCGCTGCTGGACAGTAAAAATAAAAACAGGATGTCAGCGTTTCTCTTCCTCCTGTTTGTGTCGCCAACTGATCTGGACTCAGAAGATTCAGAGGTGGAGGAAATCAGGGGCTTTGAGTTAATTAGCTGACGAGGCTGACAGAGCCGAATATTTAGCTTTATTCAAATTTAAAATTAAAAGAAAAAAGCAATAATTTCACTGCATGTAGTTGATGATAGAAGGTGGGGGGGGGTCGACATACAAACAAGGTTTATACAGAAATTAGTAACTCTAATTTAATACTTTTTAATGCTCTTGGAAATTATTAATGCCATTAACGATAGACTAAAATAATAAAGTATTGCTGTATTCTAAAGTGTGTTGAGATGTTAAACCAGCACTGAAAATGAAATGAAACTTAGCTGGAAATATCTGAAATCAGTAGATACTAAAACACATCCTGCAAAAATGACTGAAAGGCAAACGCTAGCGAACATGGGACAGATCGTACAGAGGATGCACTTTTATTTTTAGAAAGATGATTGATGACGGCCTCTCAGTTGGTTCCAGTTCTGACATCTCCTGTACATCTCTCCTAGAGTATCACATTTTCTAAGCACGAGCCAGAAGTGAGCTGTTTATTTTCCACAGGTGAAAGATTGGGGTATTTCTGAATCTGGAAAGATTGCCTGGATCAATTGGGATCCACTGTCATCAGCAGCGGACGGGTGTTGCTGCACGGCGGGCGATGATCAGACACCAGAGAACCTCCTCATGCTGCGCTGCCTTGGATCCAAATATTGTTTGAAGACGGCCTGATTTTCTGACGTTTAGTGGCGTTTGCTCCAGGTGCCGTTTGTGGTGGTAGCTACTGCAGACGGGACTGCACTGGTTGGACATTGTAAACTCTCATGCAGCTGAGATTGTAAAGCATCGACACCCGTCGTGCAAAGCTTCATTTTTTCCACACATTGTGACTTTCCAACCAACGGGAAGCAGTTCTGCATGTTGGCGTGGAACCAGTTCTATTTGATAGAACATGTCTGTCCAAACATATTTCTTTAAAAAAATGAAGAGAATTTTAATGCTACTGATAATCACATTTAATGAATTTTAATGCCATTTAATGCCTTCATTTTAAAAACTATGATTTAATGAGTTTTAATGTTTTTTAAGGTCCAACTGAAACCCTGAAAATTCAAACTGTAGGAACGTTCAAAGTTGAGGCCAGGGTTAGAGTTAACCCTGAAAAAGGCTGAATGACGGCGGGAACATGGCTCCTTCCAGCGGCTCCGCTTTGAGCAGAACCTCCAGATGAGGGATAATAAAGAGGTCCAGTTTATTCTGCTGCTGAGACACAATAAATCAGGCCCAGCTGATATCTGATGAAGGACAGAGCTGACTTGTTAAGGTCACAGAAAGACGCTTCTACTGCCTCTGACCACCAAACCGTAGCTTCAATATAAAGCGTTTATTTCTGATACAAACATCCATTCTGTGACCCAGAGGCCAGTTCACATCCACAGCTGGGAATGATAAGACACCAAATCATCAGGAATGGTGGGAATGTAGATCTTCTCTTCCTTCCATACTCTTCAGACCACAGAAGAAAACATTTTCATTAAAGATGGACGGAGCTGCAGAGCCACAGGAAGGTGAAGTAAAGGTCTGCCGGAGCTCAGCGCTGATCATGTGGTGGCGAACAGAGTGAGCAGTCCTTTCACAAATGAAATGATCTCGTTCCCTCCCAGTTTGGACTCTCCGTAAACTCGATCCACAAAGGAAATGGGCACCTGGTAGAGACACAAAGATTTAGTTTGAGGAGAAATCACAAAGTTAGCTCAAATACAAGCGGTTGCCATGACGACGGTTTTAAACAGATTGCTGAAGCCAGAGGACATATGAACATATGCTAAATACTTTGAAATTACATGGCAACAATGAAGGTAATGCTGCAATATATACAGTAGAACTGAAACAATCAGATTATTGAAATAATCATCAACTAATCTATTAAATGTTAACTGGAGTAAAGAGAGTCTAAAAGATGCTTTAAGCTGACAGTGAGCCACTTAGAGCAGAATAGCATTAGAATATAGAAACATTTTGCATTTAAAGGTCAAACAGAAAGGAGTGAGTCTAGAGCGGTTTGATGCTGTGTGACGGTAGATTATCCTCCTTTACTCCATGTGGTTTGGCTAAATCACGCCTCTAGCGACCCCCAGCTGTGAGGTCAGTGGAGTCAAACTCTCACAGCAGCAGTTGGATTGAATACAGCAAAAAGTTCCAACAGATTGTTTTGCTTCACATATAAAGCCTTAAATGGCCAAGCTCCATCTGATATCAGAGATCTGATTGTTCCTTATGTTCCTAACAGAGCACTTCGCTCTCAATCTGCAGGTTTACTAGTGGTTCCTAGAATTTCTAAAGTAGAATGGGAGGCAGATCTTTTAGTTCTCAGGCTCCTCTCCTGTGGAACCAACTACCAGTTTTAGTCCGTGAGGCAGACACCCTGTCTACTTTTAAGGCTAGGCTTAAAACTTTCCTTTTTGATAAAGCTTCTAGTTAGAGTGGCTCAGGTTATCCTGATCTATCTCTATAGTTCTGCTGCTATAGGCTTAGACTGCTGGAGGACATAGGGACCCCTTTTTCATCATTCTGCTTCATTCTATCTCTATTCTCCCACTCTGCAGAATCTGTTAGTTCAATCTCTAACGTTCTGCTCTCTCTGCTTTTTCTCATAGTAGCTTCATCTGGTCTGTTCCTGTTCCAGCTCCGCAGTGAGATGGCGCTACTGGGACTCGTCTATCTGGAAGCCAAACCAGTAGCAGAGGAACCTGAAGCTCACTAGAGTGAAACGCGCTGCCTTGGATATTTGGGCAATTTAGTGCTGAAAGCCCTAAAAAGAAAAGGAGACGACGTATTTGGACAAAGACATGGCTGAGCTAACGTGGCTACTACGGTCTGTCAGTTTGACAGGAAGAACTCCATTTCACTCATTGCCCCCCCACCATGCTGCTGGGTTTACATCTGAGAGGAAGAAGAAGAAGAATCCTTGTTTGCCCACTGAGTGATTTAACCACGACCACCTTATGACAGCCTGCTTTAGAGTCAGGCTCTGACTCCACCAGGTTTAGATCAGAGCGGGAACAGTTCAGGTAATAGTGTGTTGCACCGATATAAAAATGGCCGCAGTAGTTAATCGCTTTTCTAAAATTTTCAGGGGAGGCGCCTCCTGGTGGTGGAAGTGTGCATCAGTCTGAGGATGATGAACAAAGCCTGGAATAACCCGACAGTCTGGAGCCAAGCAGACCTGCAGCTCCATGAACTGGAAACTTCTAGATGAATGAATTCACTAACGTTCACTGGTTTGACATTTAACCAATATTTGTGGGTTTTTGTTAGTGCTGATAAAGAAGTGAAAAGGCTTTCTCTGGATCCCGTTAGGAATCCAACATCCAGGAGGTCGGGGTGGGAACATCTGTCACCTCTCCGATGGTGTAGTTGAGCTGTCTGGCTCGGACAATCATCTCCATCTGGAAGACGTAGCCTTTGGACACACACCGTTCCATCAGACTCTCCAGAACCTTCTTCTTGTAGAGCCTGATGGGAGTGAGACAGAGAAACACTCTGGTTGGTCCCGTTTTCAGAGCGAAGCTCCGACCTGGCAGGCTGCTCACCTGAAGCTCCCAGTGAGGTCTGAGGCCCCGGGCCGCAGCAGCACCTGCGTCAGGAAGTTGGCCCCTCGGCTGGATGCAGGACAGACAAAGCAGACGGAACATCAAGCGGACGACGACCTTCAACCGATCAGGAAGGGGGGGGGGGGCGTTACCTGATGAGTTTCCTGCGCAGGTCCCAGCCGTAAACGCCGCCATCACCTTGGTAACGCGTGCCAGATACCAGGTCATAATCCCCCTCCTTCTGCTTCCTGAGGAGACATTTTATAAAAACACTGAAACTTCTTCTACTTAACCTGCAGTGAAAACCAGAAGTTTCCATACGCTGCGTTAAAGGAAACCACCTGACATGACATCAGAGCAGACTTCCTGTTTTAGATCAGCCTCTTTTGGTCAAAGGTCAGGGCTAGCACATGGGGAACATTTTCATTTCTGTCTCCACATCTGGTAGCAGATCCTTCAGTCTGCGATAATCCCTGCTAAATTAGGATTCTTTCTATGTGACGTGGATCTAATGAGGAGTTTATTAGGATGGACCGACTGCTGGCAGAGACCAAGATGACTAAGAGTGCCACCTTGTGGTCGCAGCGGCTGTGTGCAGCCAAACAAATGTGAGGAAATTAGGTTTTATAGAGCTGGAGGAAGCATCAGGTATTATCTGTTAGCTCTTAGCTTCTGTAACAGCAAAAATTTTACTTAATTATAGATAAGTTCCTGTATCTATGCTTCTTTTTCTATGTCTGCTTCTGTCTCCTTGAACCCCAGTGGGCCTCAGCAGATGGCCGCTCACACTGAGCCTGGTTCTGCTGGAGGTTTCTTCCTGTTCAAAGGGAGTTTTTCCTCTCCACTGTCGCTACAAGCATGCTTAGTGTGAGGGATTGCTGAAGAGTCAATGAGTCGATGCAATCAGCTGGTTTTCCTTAGATAGAAAACTTTGAATCAATCTGACTGGATGATCTGGATGATCTGGATCTATAAAGTGACCTGAGATGACATGATGTGAATTGGAGCTATAGAAATAAACTGAAAAGAACTGAACAGATAAAACGATTAGATTGGCCACTGAATATAATCTATGAACGTTGCACTGATCCATGGTGGAACTGGTTTAACTGTTTCTTTGCAAGCAGGAGGAATTGCTGGGAGGTTTATAAAATCACAAAGTCCTTAAAAAGCATCCCACCAGAAGCCAGCAGATCTTTTGGACTCGATACAGAAACGTTTTGGACCAATCAAATGCAGTGACGTCTATGACGTCACAAAACAAACATGGCTGCAGCGTTTTTAGCTGGAATGGCGTCTAGTTCTTCGCAAAGCGACGCGATATGTGCCTTTGTGGGTGGAGAGAAGTTTGTTTGGTAAGAGTTTGATTTATTAGTTAGCTCTAGTGAAACAAGCTGCTACGGCTGCTGTGATTGGCTGAAAGCTTGACGTGGGAGGCAGGTACCCAATCAGCTCGAAGAACTGCACTGGATGTCCCTGCCTTTTCTCAACCTTTCCAGGTGGAAACGTGTTATTGAATTAGAACAGGACACAGCATCCGTCTGGCTTATGGCAGCTTAGTTTAACTAATCCTAACCAGAAACTTAAGTCTGACTTAATGACTGACAATGAAAACAGAAATAGGAACTTCTGCTGTGTCTCTTTACTGCACTTTACTGTTATTTCATAAAGCAAACCAACATTTCAGAGGTACTTACCTTATAAACTGAGGGATAAACTTGGGCTGAAAGCAAAAGTAACAGAATCATGAAACATTATCAGACGAGGAATAAATAAATTTAATGAAATCTGATTTTAGTTGAGAAAAAGTCTTCTTGCATGAGCGATCGAGGCCCTCAGGGGGCCAGCGGAGATCTTCCACTCACATGGTGGGAGAGATCAGCATCCATGATGATGATGAAGTTCCCGCTGGCGTGCCCCATGCCGTGAATGTAGGCGGTGCCTAGAGAGCCCACAGGACGCCATCAGTAAACGGTAACGGTTAGTCAGCAACCGCAGCATTTTCTAGAAACTTACCAAGGCCTAGTTTTTTGGCTCTTGGTCGAAGAAGCTGGAGAAATAATTGATTAATAAATATCATAATTCATACGTCCGTCTGTAGCACAGAATCAAAGTTATTCATCCAGAGCAGTAACTAACAAATACATCCTAAAACGCTGCCAGAAACATGCTTTTACCGTTAATAATGAATGTTTGTCCTCAGACTAGCATGCTGGTGAAGATTCCCAGTCATCCAGGTCATAGTCAGTTAAAAAAATCAATCCCCTGGACTTTATTTCCCAAATTGAAGACGTTTCTCTTCCATCCAGGAAGATTTTTCAATTCAAAATGTCGGGAATAGCGTTGAGTTCGAGGCTATATGGTTCAATATAGCCTGGAACTCAACGTTAATCCAGCAAACATCTTCAAACTTGAAACAAAGTCCAGTGGATTGTTTTTAACTTCCAGACCAGCAGGATCACTATGGATGGTTTTAAACTTACTATTTTATCTTTGCCATAAATGTTCTGCAGCTGCTCCGCCACCTCCAGCGTCCCGTCTGGGCTTCCGTCATCGATCACGATGATCTCATAGTTAAATCCACTGCAGAGGAACAGGTGATCGATCAGTTATTATGGTTAATATGCGGCTGCTAGTTCAGGCTCGACCTTTGACCCGGAAATAAGATGGCTGCAGCTGAAACTCCCTGGATTATCTAAGCAAACAGAAAAGACGGTTGTCTTAAACTCCAGAGGCCCGTTTAACAAACTGAGTTCTTGGTTTCAGAAAAGCTGCTGTGATTTCCTTCAATCATCTCTGAGGAGGTCCACTCAGAGATGAACGCCTGCGTAACACGTATAAAAGCCATTATCAGTGGAGCGCCGATTTGAGGAGTCACCATGGCAACAGGCAAGCGGAACAGCCTATTTCACCCCAATAGGACTAGAGATAAAAACAGAATAAAAAATATTGGAGAAAACGTTGAAAAGACCAAAAAGCTGCAAAGGAGAGAGAGATGAATGAGGAGATTGCTGCTGGAGTTAATAGTAAGATTACATGTGGTCCTCTATGGCAGGCCGTTTTTACATTTATTAACACTCTCCTCTGTGTTCTTCCTTTGTAGATCATTAAAATAGATCCTTCCTGATCAAAATCCCACTTCTAGTCTGAACTGTTATAAGAGATTCCCTTCATTTATTTTTTTTTGCTGCAGAAACTGAATTTCAGAAAGTAAATAAAAAAATAAAAAATGAACTAAGTTTTATATGTTGAAAAATGTTTACACATTTTGAGACACTGTTCTGACATTCATCAGCTCGACTGAATATGTATTTATGATTTCTGAAATACATTTATCCTCAAAATAACAAAAATAACGGCAGGTAGCAAAAGGAATACTGACATTAATTGTTCACATCCAGAATGTTTATTTTAGATGCTAAGAATGTCCTTTTATTTTAAATGGTCAGTTTGACAAGACAAAAAAATATATATTAATATTTAGTCAAAATAATACATATCAAGACAGCTTGCCATAGCCTGTTGATAAGATTAGGGATTTATTTCTTGAATGGTAGCAGATCGATGTATTTATTTAGGGGCCATCACCGGGCAGCAGATGAAGATAAAGCAGAACCTGTTCATCATCTCATGGGTTCCTCCTCATGTTCATCCCGTCTCCCATCATTTATTTCATCTAAAGGACTTGATATGTTTAAGTTTTTCCACCTAATAAAGTCTGCTGACAGAATCAGGAAGGAAACAACATGATTGGCTTTAAAAGAGGGCGGAGCCAGAGGACACTGAGGCTGTTCACTAACATCCGCTCTAACTCCGAACCCCTCAGTCACTATAGAGCTTGGACTATAGAGTGAACTTCACAATGAACTCTGACCGTTCAGACATCACTACTTTTCACGCCCCGTTGGTCACATGACTCTGCCTCTGTTCTTTCTCACCCCCAAAACACATCCCTTGATGCTTTGCAAGGAGAGCTCTGGCAAAGCATTATGGGATATATGTGCTCATCTAGTGACCATGGATGATCACTACTATTCAAGGTGCATTGTGGGAAATTTAGATTCCACTAATATTTCATCCACTAGATGTTCAGACAGCCTGAGTTTATGGAGGGAAACCTGCTGCTGACCAGGTTAGCTCTGGGAGAATGTTACCATGGTAACAGACAGGGGCTGAGGAAACTGAATCGGAAAACTCTGCGTTTCCCAGATGTCAGGTTTAGGAACGTTTTCAGTAAAGCTGCTTTGTGAAAACAGGCTCTGGAAGGCTCACCGGCTAAATCAAACATCCATCAGCTGATCCAGCTGTTTAGAAGCAGCTAAAAACACTCAGTTTTATTTCTGTTCATTAAATACATCAAATCATTTAGTAAATTAGGTCTCAGTGGAGCTAATTTCCCTTCAGAGAAATCAGAGCGCCATTAGAGGAATCAATAGAAGCCTGAATGAGGGATGGAGACCTGGTTTCTATGGAGACAAACTTACAGCAAGTTTGGATCAAAGGAACAAAAACACATCCAGACCAGTGGGGTTACCTTCCGTTTTACTGGTTAATCTGGGAGGGCTGAAGAAATGATAATCTCTGATCTGGTTTGGATGGACTGGTGTCCATCTCACAACTCACTGCTAATTAGTCCACAACATGGGAGGGAGGGAGGAATGGATGATGGATGGATGATGGATGGTTTCTATGGTTTCTGATTTAAATCTCCTCTGATGTTTAACAGGCAGCAGTTTCCCTCCAATGATCCAAACCTGACTGTGATTAAAAGAACATGGCAGCAGAGGATGAAGGACCAACAAGCACTGATGTTCAGTAAATATCAACCACTAAAACCGGGTCTGTTTTCTGGACCAGCCCAGTCCAGAGTCTAGACCAGGTCTAAGGTGTTTTGGACTCCAGATTATCTAAACTTCTAGAACTTTTCACATCAGAGAAAACGTTAAATAAAACATTGAGAATCTCCGGGACTATCGAGCCTTTTATTTAACCTTTTTCTCCGAAGTTTCAACTTTATTCTAAAGCGAACTTCTGCGCAGACCCACTGCGGTCCAGCGAGGCTTAGTGACAGCTCAGCAGTTAGCACTAGCTGCTAGCAGCTTAGCAGCCGCCATGGACCCACCTTTCCCCGAAGTACTTCACCAGGAGCCAAACGATCAGAGGAAGGTTTTCTCTTTCGTTGTACGTCGGTAATAAGACGGAATATTTGTCTTTATTGTCTTTGTTTGGCTGCGCAGCTTTACGGCTCGCCATGGCGACGTCACACTAGATGCTACTGCGCAGGCGCACAACTGCTGCCGGCTGCGAACTTCCGGTTTGATATTTTCAAAATAAACGAAAGCGGTTTTTTTTTTCTCTCTCAATATGCAGGTTTTTCCTTAAATCTGTTTTTAATCTCACGATAAACATTCGCCCAGTACTAATAAAGGAAAAAAAAATAAATGTACTTTTTAATTACCATAAACTAGTGATGGTTAATGAGGCATCTTGAAGCCAAACTGTATTGATGCTGCGTTGATTCTGTCTCACTGAATACTGACACCTGCTGGAAATTTAAAGACACTACAGCAAGCTTATTTTACAGACTAAACTGAATTAATTTACTGACCACTAACTTGTAGGTTAAATTGTATTATTTATATCTAAGTTTAAATTGAAAATATGTTTGATATTTTTTTGATGTATCCGATAAATAATGTAAACATCTATCATACAGTGATAATTTAGGGTAAAATGTGAATGAGGATGCTTGTGGAATAGGATTTTAAATCATATTTTTAAAACAATAAGTACAGTAAAAACAGTAAATAAACAAAAAGTCAATTTGAAATTAACTTTAATTCAGATCAGCTGAGTGATAACTGAGAGGAAAAGGATAAAACAAAGAGAAAATTAAAATTAAAAACAACAGTTGAAAGTTTTAAATTCTTTTTAGGCTCCAAAATTCTTTATAATTTCAATGATTTTTTTCAGCAGATGCATCATGTTGACAGAGACATTTTTAAACCCAGTTTAATGAATCAGTCAGTTAGAAACAGCTCCTGGATCGATCACATGACTGACTGGAAACGGCACGCGCCACCGATGCATCAGTGTTGCTGGACCCATCACCACCATAAGCAGAAATAGCTTTCTGCAATTATCAAAAATTACAAAAAAAGAAAAAGTCTGCCTGAGCTGTTTACACTAATGTCAATACGACTCATCAAAGAGAGAAATTTCCCTCTACACACATTTATATTTATTGTTGCTGGTATTTTAGGAAATCAGTCAGTTTTCCCAGATAGATTGATGTCTGTGGATTTCATGTCAGTAGTTCCCTGTTCATCATGGCATCCATAAAAATAAGGCAACATTTCTTCAAAGCTATAATTCATATTATACTACCAACCATAAAACAATAATAGTACATTTTCTATTGATTTACTACAGTTTACATATCAGTCTTTTCCCAGAAAGGTGCTGCACAGTAGGACATTGTAACACTAATTCTTCAGCATTTCTTCCCCCTAACCTTGTTTCTAAAAGTTTAAATCAGCAGTAAAGTTTCACAGCATCCATCTTTTAGTTCTCAGGCTCCTCTCCTGTGGAACCAACTACCAGTTTTAGTCCGTGAGGCAGACACCCTGTCTACTTTTAAGGCTAGGCTTAAAACTTTC